ATGGTTGAACTAATAAAATGTCAAGCCGATTATGTCTGTAAGGATCCAAGGGGTAGCACTGGTCATGTGGTATGATAAATTAGTGTTAACAGTGGTACTGTAGAAGTCCACAGGCATATCAAAATTTCAGATTGAGCCAGTATCTTGTGGTACCTTCAAAAATCTACATTTATACAGTACAAAAACCGAATGAAACAACATACTGGATTTGACGACAACATAGTTGACAAAGTGTTTGAAGAAGTCAAAAGAAAAAACATACCAGAAGAAGGTAGCACAGATGAAATATCCATTCAGTCACACAAACAAATATGTTAAAATAAAGACGTTATCGCGCTTTCTGGGTTTATAGATGCCGGGGAGGAAGGCAATATATGTTATACAACGAGAAAAGGAAAACGTGAGAAAGTCTTAGGTACCCATGCATAACAGTTTGTTTTCCTTGGGGAAATGGTTTTCAATTTCAATTTGCACATTTTATTTTATATCAGATAATGTTCAAACGCTTGAGTTGTACCCGTTATTCTGGGTAGCTGTTGATTGCTTTAGTCGATTTAGCTTTAAATGGATGGTGCACAAAGTAATTGAACATTTATGCATATAAATACATGTGCAGAATAGAATTTTACATGTGACTGCCTATGCATATTTGGACAAATGATTATTATAATGGACTGCAAACGTGGCGTAAAGAAAATAAGAAACAATGTATTAAAAAGTGGTATTTTCAAGATATCAACCATTATTGACACAACCAACTAATGGTAGATGTTTGTTGACTGTTACAGATGCAACACGAAAAGCATTGATGCAAAGCATCAAAGAGCGTCCATGAAAGAAATGCAGCAAGTGAAGATGAACTGGTAGACATCTGATGACCAGATATTCTTATAAACTTTTCAATGGTTAATTGGTTTTTACCAGAATTGTATAATATTTATGAATGGGCAGACGGAAGACATTGTTCATCATGAACTTTGGTGGGCATGCTAGAGATTAGAATATAATTTTTTTCACAGGACTTGAAATTCTGTCAATATTAACGATAATATCCAAAATATACAGGCCTATGATATCCAAAGTGCAAATTAGTTGTTTGAATATGTTTCATTTTTCATATTTCATTTTCCTGCAAAATTCTTCAGTTCGTTATTTATAACTATAGCGCTACACGAATGACCGTTTCGTTAAACAAAAACTACTTCTTTAAATAGACTTTCGGACTTTCACAATGTTAAGGTCATCATTTCATTTATAGGTACAGAAATACATAATAACCCACTTTGTGTACTACAAAATGATTAATAAAAAACACCGGAGAGCGCGATTAATTGACGGAAAAGATAATTTCATTTATATATGTTTGCATTGCGAAATTCTCCTGTTCGCTATTCATTGTTCGCGACATTTTATATTTGATAATCAAACACCCTCATACCAATCGGAATTATTGGTTACTATGACCGACGAAAAAGCCCGAGAAGTTGCTGCCGTCCTTTCACAAAATCTGATTTCATTCCATAAGGGGCGTCGCGCTTCGGCGCGGACGCCAATTAATTAAATTCTTTATATCTACATTGGAAGCTTTCAATATCATGTACATTACCATATATACCCAGCAAAAAAACTAAACATGCGCAACCATTAGGCAGAGGATGACCTGGATACAGATATCTTGCATCTTATGCTTCAATTTCAAAAATGTCTTGCAGCTAAAGGTTCTGTTTCGAATGACACAATTGAATTTTTGAATTTTTTTAAAATTAATACAACTCTTCAAGGATATGAGTGCTTTTAAATCATTTGATGATCCTAGGCTAAAAGAATTACTGAATGTTGCAAAACAGTTTGAGAATTAGGAGGTTAGTGCTTTGTCAAGACTTTTATACTACCAAAGGATAGACAAAGGCAGACTTTTGTCTGCACAATGCCATGAAGATGATATTCAAGTCTGTATAATTGACCTTTCTCAATAAGCAAAACAATTTTTAAGTAAGGCAACCAGAATTTACATCGCTCCTGGTCTTATAAACACTGATGTCATTGAAAAAACATTAAATCAGCAAAGCCCAACATATCATGGTGCCAACTTCAATCCTAATGCTCAACAATATAGAAAAGCATTAAACAGTATTGTTTTGGATCAAACAACAGTATCACAGAAAGCCAATGCAGGGTAAAATCGATCAGCAGCCATAAAATTGTGCCTTAAGCCAGCTCATGAAAGAAAGTCTTAACCGAATGACTGATTAAATATCAAAGTTATCCGAAAGTAATTTTCCTCAAAAATGACATATGTTCCTTAAGATGTTATGGAATATGACCATCAAAAATTGTTTTTAAATAACTATTTTTACGACAATGATATATTTTATACCTATCATGAATATCATGACAGTGTCAACTTTTGGAATCATTATGATGTTCAAACTGTGATACTCATCTGGATATATGTTCATATCCAGTACAACATTGAAATATATTTTACCATTTATGAACATCATCTTTCGACGCTACCTGAAATCCTGCAATACACATTGTGCCACGGTACCTGATAACTACTGACTTTTGAACTTTGAAAAAAATACATACCTTTGTTGTTTATTGTTGCAACAACTCCTATCCTCTTAAATATAAGCAGATAGTTTTTGCAGGAAATTCAGGGCAAAAGCAGGTTGTGGAATTGCACTTTGTTTCACATAAAAGTTAATCACTCGTAAACCTTTTGTCTTTCGAGTACGTCCAAGAGCAACACCTAAATGTCCTGGCTTGAATATCTGAAGACTGTAACAAATCAAAATCAAAATACTTTCCTATCTATCACTGCATTCTTTGAGGGCTTATCAATATATTGATTTCTTGCTTGTGAAATCATATATTCATCTTACTCTTGTTATTGATTTGAATCAAATAAACATGTCCTTGTTAATCAATGATTATAATTGTAGGCATCAAAGACTTGTTGATCAATATAGATTATTATTATGTAATTTTGAAAATAAAATAGAAATGGTGACATGTTTTATGCTGTACTAGTCTAGTGTTGAGCCTTATGGCTAGTGAATGCGCATTGCAAAAAAAATGTTAGTTAATACTGCATTCTTACGGCCACATAGTATTTTTTTGAATCCACTAAAAACTGAAAAAAACAACAATATCAGGTTTCATTTTATACTGAAAATCATAATTTTCCTTGAAAAATAAAAATACTGCATCAAATGACTTCAGCTCTCATTATTTTTGTTATAGATGTTATTCTTACATGAATAACTATCTTTTATTGAGCTGAAATTAAGTAGCCAATAAATTCTTCCTTACAATGATTGATTATGTTCATTATACATAATAATAACCATTAAAGACTGTGTACAGCATTTACATGAATAGTCGACAAGGGTAAAATATTACAGTGTTATGTCTGTATTTTTGCTGAATCTTAATATGTCTGTCAAAGATACATACCACAAAATCTAAACTTTTCAAGTGGCACTTTAACATTCAAAGATTCAAAGATGGGAACTCTACTGCTGGCCCTGTTTCGCTGATATCATATATATTACCATGCAGACCATTAATCAATTTATCGGATAAGTAACGAAGCAAAATCACAGCTATTTTAAGCTACAGTGGTTTTGGAACTAATATCTTGTTAAGGTGCTTCTGCTTGCCTTCAACGGCAGAGCGGAATTCATACAACAATCTATGAAAATCAATTACTCGATTTCTGTTAAAAACATCCACTTGCTCATCTACAGTAAAGACTTTTACAGAGTCAGTGCCACAAGGCAATGTCAATTATTTCATGAAAGCTTCCGTTCCTTATGTCACAATTCCATTTGCAACCTCCTGAATTGCTTTTATCAATTGTGTTTTCTTTTTTGGTGTATAATATCAGACAGTGTTACTACGTGAGGCAAAATATTTTCAAGCAATTACATTTAAAGCAAAAATAACTTATTTCTCTAAACACCTGTTTTTTAACTGGTTGCAGCAGTGTAAAGTCACCTGACAGTAGCAATCGAATACCACAAAAGAATAGCTATGTATCCTTTAATTAGATATTTCATTTAGAGATTCGAACATTTTTTGCTTAACAACGAGCACTCGTCAATTACCAGTATATCCATCTTGGTAATCATTCTTTTCACTTCAGTGAACAGGAAATTATTTTCCACCACGTTTCTTGTAACAAATACATCTTTCCGACCGTCACCAATGCCCGACTATCTGTTTACTGTTATTGTATTCTCGTATAAACAGCATGTACTCCATGTTGTAGCAGTAAGTGCCACATGCTTATCCTAATTTTGAGAGGCTTGAACGATTCGTTTTAATATAAATATTTTACCAGTACCAACTGTTCCAAGTAGCAGTAGATAGCTACCATCAAAACACGTTTAATACGAATGATTCTGTGCAGTGTTTAGCTCCATCTTCATGTCTTGACATATGGCGCGAGACATGTATATAATTATGGTTCTCTGTTTTCAGCAATAGTACAATTAAGCCGGGCCAAGACATACACACATCCGTCGTTGACCAATGAGACTGGCATCGCTTTTGGACGACTGAATACATATCGCTGAGAGACCAGGTTCGTTTCGTTATGCAGAATAGATTTACAGAGACTTTAAGTGTGGAGCGTACATCTATTTGATAGACTTGAAGCATCTATCGCTGCAATTTGTGCATCAATTATGAATTGAATGTGATTAACTTCTGAGAGTTATTCCAAAACAATCAACAATCAGATCTCTAATGAGTTTCATTTTTTGACATTTAAGGGTTGAATATTACTTGCTACTTATAAACAGCGAAGGTGTTGGCGTTGTTTCCATAAAAAGCATTTATCTTGTTTCCATAAAGAGCATTTATCTAAGTAAACTAAGATTTGACACCAAGACTTTTAAATCATTGAAATGGGCTGCTGGAACCTTTTGTCATCTCAGATAACTGTGAAACAGGATCTTTGAAATGAACGATTCGCCAACTTTTTTTACAAGTTTATCGTGGTTTACAGCGTATTCACAATCACCAGTTCTCGGCAAACCAAATGTGTATAGCGTAATCATATCTTTATCAATGACATTGTCAAAAACCAGCTGAGCAGATGCAATTGACGCTATAGCACCACCAAGGGAATGTTCAGTAACTATGACTCTATATGTTGGAAACTTCATCACAAGATCCTTCAGACTTGACTTGGCGCAAGGATAAAGCTGATCATTTGCATTACTGAAATAATTTTCAACATTTCCGCCGAATTTAGTATGAACTTTAGGATAACGAGGAGCTGATAAAATTTCTTCAAAAAGTTGCACAATTAAATCTTGAATCATCATCCGCAGCTTATATTAATAATACTGTTTATATTTATACTTCCACGACACCAGGCATATCTGATTGGTCATTATTAAGAAGTATGTTTAACGGTTTATGGAGAGAATAGACATTACCTTATTGATTAATTCTATTGTTCTTCTTTCATAACACATACTGTTGAGTTATCATGAATAAATATAACTTATTTTATATTTAAATAAAATGTTAAAATGCTTTAGCTTTTTCATTTAATTAACTTGATAATTCTTTATTCGCATCAATTTGTTGTTTAAAATACGATTAATGGAAATGCATTAAATCACGGCACATGAAGAGGAAATATTTATCTGTATTATAATATTTGATATTATTAATCATTCAGTTATAGTTATGAGCGAAGGTTACATTAAATTTATTGGCAAAACATAAATGTTTCACAAATTAACCTAATTTCCTCTAAATATACTGTATATATTTGCCAAACAAGTAAAAAAACTTTGAATAAATTAAAATTTGGTGGAAAATAAAATAAAACAATCACACAAAACAACTAAATGTATGACTGACAGTTATTTGGGCATTTTTGAAATTGGCATGGATTGCACTGTGGGTTATTGAATCGTGGAATTCTGGAGTATCCTGCACTTTCATGAAGATGAACCATATCGGTATATTTCAGTCGTGATTTTGTTTGGGTTTGGGTTGATATTCTCTATGTTAGAGGCAATGCATGCAAATAGTTATTTTCTTCGAGGAATGTCATATACATTTGCATAATGGTTTCGCAACTGGTTAACTGCTTGTGTTACATGATTTTGAAAATTGGAATCATTTTAACTTTAAAATTAATCTTTTGGTCCCCCGTGCCCTTGCTCAAAGATTTCTGTAAATATATGCCTATAAGAACTTTTTATAAATTCGTGTGCTTACATGAACAATCTGAGATTTCCGATATGTTGTCAAGGTCACAGATGTCGGGCGCGTGGTCATGACTTACACTATACCCCGCTCTCTCTCTACAACCCAAAACCTTTAAACATAATCCAAACATCACAAGTAATGACAAAATCAATTATATGTCAAATGTTTAACCCAAAATATTGCAGCAGATTGTTCCCCTTTATTTTTGTATGGAGTGTTTTCATTGGTCATCTTTTGAGATGTGGGGAAAAAGGTGCGTTATAGTTATATATGATGGTTTGATTGGCGGGGCCAAATTTGATTGTAGGATGTCCAAACTTATATTCTGCCTACGTCTCAATATAAGTAATATTTTTGCTTAAAAGTTTTAATTTCTTTCTGTCGGTTCAAAAGATATAGAGCAGACGTTAAATTTTTATATTGAAACAAAACGACTAAGTGTGACCTTGATCTCAGAAAGGTCAAACCTGCTATCTGCACATCGTCACATCATTGTTTACATTTTTTCTAAGTAGTTTCCATTTCCTACCACTGATGCAAAAAAATAAAGACCGGACAAGAAAATTGCTATCAGACATATTTAAATGCGCAATACAAAAATTATTCATACATTATGAATGTAGTGTGTTTTAATTGTGAGAATTTTACCAAGACAGTGCAGTCAAATATCTGTCTAGTTTCATTTTTAGACAGTTTGGGCTTGAATATTACTTTATTTGTATAATCAGCGAAGGTGTCAGTGTTGTTTTTTATTTATCCTAGATTTGACACCAAGATTGTTCAGATCGGTGAAATTTTGATGAATATATGCACTGAAAATTGAGATGCTAGTGATTTTTCTATACAAAATGACAAAAGTAAGAGAGTAAAAAACCTTGATTCATGGATTAATTATTTGTTTTTCTTGATATAATTAATTTTTGTCAATATTTATGATGTTTGGGTGATGTTAAAAGGTTTTGGGTGGTAGAGGGGGGACGTGGGTATAGTGTAAGTCATGACCACGCGCCGAACATATGTGACCATGACAACATATCGGAAACAACAACAAAAACAACCCCGACAAAAAAATCAGTCCCACGCAGCTCTTCGAACTCATGTAACATTTATATTCAAGAATTTACTTGAATTCATCCTGAGGTTAATTTGTTTAACTTATTTTAAATGGTGCTCTTGGTTAAATTCTATTTTTTATTGGTTGACTTGATTGAAATTATTAGATTAGTTAAGAACCTGTTATAAGTTATTTTGACCAATCAATCTTTTAGTTGATTTTTCAAATTTCTTGTCTTAGGGACTTGTCGCAAATAGCGAAAGCATTGTTTTCTTGTCGTAAAAAGTTGTGCTCCGTTGATTTTTATATGTTACAAGTATATGTTTATTTTGTTTAACACATCTCAGAGAACGACACGCCTGCTTTATTCTAGTTTATGGTTTATTTCACATAATTATGTACTAAGTCAAATTTCTCCGTCAATTGGTTCATTTGTGTAGTTATATTTTATCATGATTTTTATAAGTTTTACATGGTTCAATAACTTCATGCTTTACAGTGCTTTTGGCGGGATTTTTTAAAATTTAAATAGAATTGTAAATCGCGACACGGGCAGCCGACAATTACAAAGATTAAAATTATAGATTATTATAAATTGTATTTGTTTTATTGTGAGTGAATTTAAATTTGTAGTAAAAGTTTCTTTGGTAAAATAAAGTGTTTATTTGAAAGTGTGTTTTAGTTAGTAAATGAAAATTAAAAAATATTACTTTAATGTTTGCTGGAAAAAAAAAACAAGAATCTTCACGACAGAAGTGGCCGACAGGTCAGTTCACTTCAAAACAGTTTAGAGTTTTGACATCTTTCAAAACATATAAAGGTTTGACACTACTTCAATCTTTAAGATTTTTAAACTTAGATAATTTTGATACTTGTTCATCAACTAATTAATCTAAAAATAGAATTCTGGAAAAAAACTTTGCAATTTATACATTTAAAATAAATCTCTGTTATAAATATGTGTTGAATTTATTAAGGTTTTGTTTTACTTAGAGTTAACAGAAGGGAAGGTAGCGTCCTTACATCCAAGCCTAGAGGATGAAAGCAATCTGATTTGTCGATAAATTCACAATGAGCAATAGGCATTATAGAAAAGATTTATAACACAGTAAGTGCCATCTTTCTTAAATGTTTTGTAAGTGTTTGGTACAACTGTATTGTATATTCTCTCAATGTAAAACTTACAGCCACAGTGCATATAAAAAAATCAATCTTTTACAGAAAATCAGACATAAGATCATATGAAGTATCAAACAAATTTTTGTCATATTTTTTCCTACGTTCAATGACATTTTTTATACAATAGTCATAAAAAAGATGCGACACCAAAGGTGCCTAAAGATTATGAATTACATTGTTACAGACGTTGTGCGGCGGCAAAGGCCTTATAAAAGGTATTCTCTGCATTGGTCAGTGATTCTTTCCCACCTGGTTGCACATTTTTGGGGGCGTCCGTTGCCGAGTGGTTCAGGTCGTTGACTTAAAATCACTTTCCCCTCACCATTGTGGGTTCAAATCCCGACAGGGACTGGATTCTTTCATGTGAGGAAGCTATCCAGCTAGCTTACGGAACGTCGGTGGTTCTACTCACGTGCCCGTTCGTGCTTGAAATACTGCACGGAAGGGCACCTGAGGTCTTCCTCCACCAGTAAAGCTGGAACGTCGCCATATGACCTATAATGTGTCGGTGTGACGTAAAACCCAATCAAACAAACACACAAACAAAACATTTAGTTTAAATATGACATAGGATATCTAATCCTGGGAATAAGTACGTCGCCTGGTACTCGTAATATTTCTTTTGCAAATACAAGTAATCATCTTAGAAAGCGCCATTCAATTCGTAAAAGACTTTTTACACATTTATTTTAAATCAAAGCTGGTCAGTCGAAGGGAAGACTTTATAAATTTAAAAAAGCTTGATACACTCCCTTTTCAGGCTATTTGTTTTGATGTTCAACATATTTTTGTGGCTCCTTTTAAATTTAGTTCAGTTGTTATCTTGGGATCAAATTCGACCGACCATTACTCAGGTACTTTGGTTGTATATAGTAAGTCATGTTGGAAATTATGAGTCACGGAGTTGATGAATATGACAAGGAACATTACATAGTAGACTAATACTTTTGTTTTAGATCGTGCTTTTGCGAGTAATTCAAACTGACCTGTGGACCATTTTAAATTATATAGCACAGCAGAATTGCAAAAACAAATGCGGTCTTCTGCCATTTCATTACATCGAAACCCAAGTAATTCAGTTTAACCTGCAAAGAGGATCAATTGAAATTACATTACACATTAGAAAAAAACTATGATCTTCGTCAGATTAGAAACCCATAAGACTTTTTGAACCTTTTGAAGCATATTGAACATCCTTAGAGCATAACAAAATGGTGGCCTTTGATGTGTTGGTCCTCCCAAATGTTTATTTCTTTTATAATCTATGCATTTTTATAGCGTTTTTATAGCGATGGGAAAATAATCATCTTAAATAAACCTGTACTGTTCAATAATGTCAAGGTAACGTTTTCTTTTTTAGAGACTGTGTCTTTTTTCCGATATGAATCATATATTTGCACGTTAAAGTGTCTAGTGGGCTGATATGTATGCATTTGGTAACAAAGAGCATGCCTTTTACATTAAAATTATTGCAATTGTTTGTTCAGATTGATAATTATACATATATATTTTAGATTTGTAAATGTCTTTGTTTCAGAAAAAGAAGAAACAGAGGTAAAAATGAAGACTCAAATCTCCTTTGTCTTCTCTTATAAATGATAACAACCAATTAAAAGCATGCCAATTGATCATGTGCACAATATATATCTTTCTGAGTAGACCATATTTTGTAAGTCATATCTATATATTAATCTGTTCAAACAATTTATTTTCTTAGAGCATTTCCTGCTTTTGCTTCATTAATTCTTTATCAGGATGCTTATAAATCTAAATCATCTTGTAATCAAATCAGGCAGATGATATTTCAAACAATTACTTATAAATGTCGCAGATATATGTCAATGTGTCGGCGTACATATCATTTCAATCAAAACTCAATGAACAGTAGAATGGGAACACGATGCACCGTCTTTGCTGTAGGCAGACATCATCTAAATCGTGTCAATTGTTGATCTGAGTAATTGTGTTTAACACATTAAATAACATAGGACATACCACTTTGCGTTATGATTGTTACGTAGCGATTAGATTTATCAAGTCTAAACAAATGTCGCACCGTTACACAGACTGCATGCAAGGGAGGAAACCCACTTAAAGATAATTGATAGCAAGAACATTTGAATATGAATACGCACTAATTGGTTTTATTTTGACTGAGTAAGCTGAAAATTTGTGAAGTGGCAAACTAAGGCCAAACCATTAATTATACATCATACTAGGAAATTTAAGTGTTCATGTCTCAATATGTTGATATATTAAAACAACAATCGATAAAAAAATATTCAATTTATTTTAATCACTATAATCAAGACAATGGCAATATTTTGTCAATCTTTAATTGTAATGTTACTAAAAAGCTAAACCATTGCTGTCTAATACCATGGATTTATATTACAATATAAATCCGTGCTTATACAAACGGTATGATAGAAATAAAAAGAAATTTCATTTTGCTTTTTTGCAAATAACAATCTAAAGAAGTGATTAATTTTTAAACATATTCATTCTTTTAACTTGATATATTTAAATCAATATGACTGTAAAAAAATAAAATTTAAAAAATTAATTTGCTTACTAATAGTAAAATTCTTAGAAATACCTTGAACTTAAAAAACTGAATAGGACTAAATAAGTTGAATTGATACATTCTAGACTCAAATGCTTTATGTTTATTAATGACTTCAATCAAACCATATGAACATATATACTGATTTTATTTGTTCATATAAATTGGATGACTTAAAAATAACAAAATACACTTATAAACAATGGGCGTGATTTAAGTATATTCACAAGAAAACTATTTTTTAACATTATATTGTTTCTTTATATTATTATAACGCATTATATTTATTTATTCTAAACAAAACAGTTTTGATAGAATTTTAACTGGTAGGTTCTATGTTCAAATAAATGGTTTTCAGTTTGACCCATTTTGAGAAAATAATATAGTAAATCACCGCTATTTCTAAACAATATACGTTTTCGAATGATAGTATGATTCAATCTCATATTAATTAAAACAAAAACAATCGTATAAAATTCAATAATTTTGATTTGACAAAATTAAGGTAAGTATCATAGATCTAGTAATCATTTCTGGAACTCTATATCTTTGTTTCTATTATATATAATCGTCAATCAGTTTCAACATCATTATAAAAGCTTCTGATGAAACCTTTAAATCATTCCAATTAAATAGCCTTAAATGTGTACAAAAATGGCTGCAAGAGAAAAAGACTATTCAAAACTGGCTACAATAGAAAATACTATTTTGTAATATAACATATTGCTTGAGATAAATTACTGATAGTATTTATTGATTCTTCCCCTCTTAACAAACATATGTCAAGCTGTCGTTCCAGTCAATTATCAGTACGTACTTTATCGGCAATACTGATAAACTAAACAAGTATCAAATAAATCATAACGTTATATATTTTCCTACGAAATAGCAAAAGCATATAGTTTATATGATATACCGAAAACTTCACTTATAGCGAACACGGTTATAGCGAACTTCCGGTTATAAGGAACACTATATTTTGGCCCGAATTATTCCCTTCTTTATTTAGTATAAAAATATACGGTTTATTTAGTATAAAAATATACGGTTATAGCGAACACGGTTATAAGGAATAATCGCTTATAAAGAACTCATTTCTCAGTCCCAATTTAGTTAAAAGTACAGAAAATTACACTTTTAGATCCCGCATTTTCAACTTTCATTTTCATTGGCACGGATTAAAGCTCGCCCGGATGTACATGTACCGTTTATTGATGTCTGTACTTCAATACAGTTGTGAAAATGAATTTGTAGAGCAGTACGTAATAGTTTTCTATTTAGGATATTTTAAGCAGGAGTTCTTGTCACCAAGATAAAACGGCTATTCCTTTATTGTATTTTTTCTTTTCATTAATACGTTAGCTCAAGTAAAATAATTATGATCATTTATTATTGGTTTTCAACGTAATCACGTTTTGCTTATCCATTGAAAACTACAAATACGTTTGATTGCAATAAAAAGAAATCTATATATTTCATAGGTAAAAATCACCTTTAAAATATAATAGAAGATATTCAATATAAATGGAAGAGAAAAGGGAAAATCTTGTTTATTCTTTATCATGGACGGAAGCAAAGTTTAGAAGCAAAATATAATATTTTATGGGAAATTGAAAAATAGAGTAAAACTAAAACGCAAATAGCAAAGATTTTCAAATTCCAAAAAGTACGCTCTCGGGTATTCTGTCTAAAAAAGAAATAAATGACTATTTTGTCTTAATCAAATGCTCTTAAAAATGGCGGACGATGGTAAGCATTCAGTTCATTATATGTAAATATGTTCGCTATAAAAACTCCTGATAAAAGGAACTAATTCGTTATATGCTTATAAGGAACTCCGGATATAAAGAACATATTTTGAATGTCTCGACGAGTTCGTTATAAGAGGAGTTTACTGTATACAGATGTAAAGGAAAGAACGTTTAACAAAGAATATGGGAATATAAATATTTTTGTCAGCAATATAAACATGTTAAAATACACAACATACATGTTTAGTTTGTTCATACAGCTCATATAAAATATTCAATAGATATTAAATTAAATTAAATTAAATAAAACACATAAATAGCCTAAGTACAGTGTTTGTTCTAAGAAAAATACTTTTCGTGTTTTCTCATTGAGTGTTATACTTGTATATTTGTAAGAACATAAGCTTATTGCAGTGTCTCGAATTCAACATGTTTCTTAAATATTTTCAATATGTTTTCAGTAATTATGAAAAAAGTACATTTTGTTACTTGTCAAAAATAGTCAAACCGAATCCGTGAATGCACTGGTTACTTTCCTTTTCATCATGCCCCTGGTATTATTAAACCGTTTTAAAAATACATGTATACATAATGTTCTGAATGAAATTGTGTAGTTAGCTCATTTCCAAACGAACCCATACATCAACACAGAAAATGTTAAAGAACATAAAGACTTGAGAACGACATGTAAATATCAATTAAAATTGTTAGAAACAGACCAGTTCTGAGAACACATCAAAGTTACGAAATTCATCGTTCAAAATTGTCAATTAAGCCTCAAAACAATTTGATCGAATTCGTGCAGATTGACAATGACATGGGAACTTTTCTGTATGGCTGTTCGCAAATCAGCTATAGTAGCTGCCTGCCCTTTTTGGTTTTTCCATTCCATAAGCATTTCGAACGTTGCTTCTTTTGCCTCGCCTTTGTGGTTCTTTTCAATTTGAGCTAACAATGGCTCTGGTATTCCCTCGCCCACGAAAAACAAAGTAGTATTCTTTCCAAATAAGTTAGAAACTTCTGCCAAAAATGCACTGCTGATTGTTTTGTTTTTTATTTTTCTTTCAACTTTTTGGATCTGAAACATAAACATGCCGAAATAAGATTGATTAAAATTTTTAAAAATATTTATTTGCTTACAGTTATGACGGCTCTAACATAACAAAACTATTTGTGGTATTCAGATAAATGAGGAACAACTAACATGAATATAGTTATTGAAATACAAATATGTTGAAGGGCAGCGTTGTTTTGTCACCTGAATATGCATAGTAAATAAAACATCCAATTAACTATGGTAAGCAACTTATACATAACTTTTCAAAATTCTAGTTTTTTATGTTAATTTCAAATTACAAGGCACAAAGGTATCACAATGAGTTGCTCATAACATCCAAGTTATAAACATTGATTTAAAAAAAGACTGATTTAAAAAAAAAACGACGAATTTCAAAAAATATTAACTAAATGCAAGAAAATTACATAAATTCAAAGCAAACAGGAAAGTATATATTTCTATTACATGTGTAGAAAACCAAGGAGATACATCTCTTGTAACAAGTCCATTATTTTCCTCAAACACATTTTCCCATTCATTTCCTTCTTCCTCTATAACACTCTTTATTTCTTGATTCTCTCTTACTTTGAAAAAGTGACAATCTAAATTCTTCTCGTTGCTTGGTCCCTTTTCCAAGTGTTTCAGTTCGTTTTCAAAAGATTTTCGCAGTTCCTGATATTCTCTATCTATGTTTGTATCATTTGAACTGGTTTCAGTATTCAAGTCCAGCAAATAAACTTTCGCTACATGAAAGTGTACGAAAAGTCTGTGTGATTTTTTACAAAATATAAGAGAATGTTTGATTTGAGTATTAAATGGCCCACTACATAAAATGTTCCAGCCTTTGCTAAAGAGAATAGTGTACATCTTCCCTCTGACGAAGGATGGTATTATATCGACCTTGACGGTCATTCGGAGAGCATTGGCATGAGGAGAATACATTATACAATCAAAAGCTGGCATTCTGTTTGAATATATGAACGGAAGCATATAAAGCGTATCATTTTGTGAATCATCTTCTACAAAAATAAAACCTGTCTCGATTAGAGCATCCGTTAGACGCTCCTTGCTTGCAGTAATGCTGATATATCTATAAAATCTATACAACTTTAAAATACAATCTATAGACGAAACTGAATTGAACATCTCGGCTAAGATGCTCCTTAATTTGTTAATGAGCATATTTGGCTTGCACACAAATTCTTCGTCATTTGATTTGAATAGTATTAACTGCTTTTTTCTGACGAGCCATTCAATTTCTTTTTTATCACATTCCTTAAGAGGACAAAAAAGTTGACCGGATGCAAACATGTTTTTGCATGATTTTGGACCGTTCGCATAGCTTATAGTCATCTCCTTAAGCATGTCCTTCATCTTACGACACATTTCTGGAACGGGACACCATTCAAAATGACTGTGTCTAGTAAAATATGTTTTTCTGATAGCGGAAGGAAAATGACCTTCTATTTTCTCTTGGTCTACCTAAATAAAACATACAATATTTGTAACAAATAAATATGACAAAATCTTTTTCGTGTTTGTGAATATATCCCCAATATATAACATTTAACGACATTTACAGTTTAGTCTGTCAATTTTGGAAATTTCTACAGTCCACTATTTAAATGAATAGTAAAGCATTGTCTGCATAATTATAATGTTGTATGTATAACAAAATAAAGGTTTGCTAAGATTAGGAGTCAAACTTAAATGCATACCTCTGAGTTGGTATCAACTAACAGCAATTTAGACTTGGCTTCTTCCAACGATGCAAGCACTCCCATTTCTTTGACAAAACCTTTATAACGTTCTGGACAAAATTAAAATATTCTTACATAATCAAGAATAACATCATTGGAACATAAATATGCATGCCGTGCTCTAAGCATTTCTTACTATGATTCTATAAACATATATACACTACACTGCTATAAGCATTACTGTCTAGAGAAGAAGCGACACTATATATACTTAATGTTTTGATTATACTGTTGGCAATGATTTATTTATTATATTATTATAGATATGATATTAAGCAAAGAAATAATATATTAAAGTTACCGATATTAAATGTAGTACTATCGATAGCGAGCAGGATTAACGCGGGCCAGGTAAATAATGTAAATATAAATGATGCAAGATCATCATTTATTCTAGTCTCCTCTTCAATAACTATTGCATTTATGTCAACTTTCCTCGCCCTTTCTTTTTGCTGAAATTGTGAAATTGTATAGTGGTGGTAATTTATCTAATAAAGAAAGAAAGAAAAATGAAAGAAATATGGAAGTATCCATGATCATTGCCTTGCTCTTTTACGACTGGTGTGTTCATAAATCTATGTTCATTTTAACAAGACATTTTACTCCGACTGTCACATGATGATTTAAACTATTAGGCGAATTAGGAGTGACTTAATTTCTTTAGATACGAAATTTCTCGTTTTTTGTGTGATATTAATGATGACATGACCCTTTCAGTTTTGCGTTTTATAAGTATTTGTTTTGATTTTCATGAAAACAGTATTACAAAAAATAAAATAGAGCAAACCATATCAATATACAAAATAGTTATTGATACGAATAAAATTCAAAATAAATTAATCTTGATACTTCTGCGTCAGTTGTTGAAAAACTTGGGTTGTCATTGCTCTTCAGGTCGACGGATGAATATGTCTGTGTATCAATATCAAATGCTTGGACGTGTGTATCGTTATTCAAGTCCTTGTCATTGTTCATCTGAACCTCTTTCAGACATTCCATATACAATCCATCTAGACAAAATGATAAATACTTTAGAAAAACATATCAATTTTAAGTGTATTTGTGTACAACAATTTCAATTTGAGAAAGAACATAGTCACGACGGTCTAGTGAGTGATTAATTACAAAGCATTTTGAACGATTACACGTGCATTGTTATACTTCAACGCAAACGTAATGTATATTTCCATTCAACATGCTAATAACAAAGGGATTTGATAACAATATATTTAACTGTATTAAGAAGTAAGTTTTCTGTAATTTGGTCTTTTGACGTCACATTTAACGTCATATGACGTGCGGTCATTCATTTGTATGGCGTACATTTAACGTTTAATCATAGACTCGAGTTAATTAGGGGATATTGATTAGCATGTCAGAATGATTATTATGTAGCATTCTTGAAATGAAATGTCTAATATAGGAACTTTAAATGTAGATCGGTTTTAAAATATTTATTAAAAAGTTTCAAAGCGTGTAAAGAATACTAATGAATGTTTGGTTCTTTATCAGAACAAAATTGATTCGGGTAAAATGTCCTTAAGCATGATAACACTTATTTGCAATTTTTAAATCAAAGCTAAACATATTTCTTAAATATGCAATTCATACCCTCTAATAAAGATGCGGCTGGGATCTCCGTCCACACTATTTGCAGGTCACAAGTTGTTCCAGTTATTTGCTTAACACATTTCTGTATATTTGATTCATCTCCTAAGATATACACTTGAGTGACTGTATGTTGACTGTCCATGTCCACTACTCAAGTGCTTAATATCTCTTTAGGTGATTCTTGATAAGACAATGTACCATTGAATCTTAAAAAAGAAAATTGATAGTTACGTCAAAAAATATTGTTGAAGTGGTAATGATAACATTTAAAAAAAGGAGAACATGGTAATGAGACAGAGATGATAACGCATGCCAGAAAAACAGTATCATACATTGTAGATAAGTAGAAGCTCTTTGTAATCAAAGCATTATGAGTACAATATAAATATGTTGGGCAAAGTCATACATATAGTCGTATAATTTTATAATTCATACTGTCCCAGGAGAAAATGTCTGCCTTGATGTTATTTAATCTAAA